TGTGTTGAGTGTAGTATTTTATCTTTATATTTTCCGTGTCATGTATTTTCATTGGTTGTACCGAATTTAAATTATGTTAAGTTGCTATGTTTATTTTTGTGTTGTAGTATTAAACTAATAAATAATCCGAGAAATAAAAACAAATGCGCATATAATATAAACCATAAATAATATTGTTATTATATACTGAATGTCATATGTACAGATAATCAAAAATATCAATGTGTCCCACAGTCTGTATGCTTTAAAGCATTGGCTGCCCTGAGGCGCATCCCATCCCCCCGGCTACACTATCATGATCATTCTCATTACGTCACTTCATTATCGGAGGATGCATTGCAGCATGATCGTCGATAAGGCTGGCAGGCTCGGTAGAAAGGTCCGTCGGTCCAGAAGTAACCTACAGAATAATAAGATATTTTAGTATATGAAATATATATTACAAATGTACGTGTTAGCTAAAAAAAATTAGATTGTCTTAACATGGTCTCGGTGGGCTCCTGAATATAATCATCCGTCTCAGGCATGTCATTATTGCACAAGGTGGCCTCCGTGACGAGCGAGGATGATGCCTTAAAAAATGCTTTAGATATTTATGACTAATTAATGAAATAAAAAATAATATAAATAATAGTAATACAAGCTTACAAAATCTTGTGAAAGATCCTCAGCAACCCTCAATGATGAGCCATAACTCAGTCGGCGCCCACTATGCACATCTCGTATCGGACGATCATCTGCAACCATCGATGGCTCTAAGGGACCAGGAAAATGCTGATCCCACTCCTATCGCATAATGGTCGTTCCTGTGATCAACAATGGAGCTGACGGGGTCACATATAAAGTCCCTGGCGTCAGTTGAAGACTGAATGATGGCATATCACCAGGAACATCATCTGGCTCAGGGTGGTCACCCCGCTGATCAACTCCAACATCCTCAACAGGTGTCTAAACGCCCCTTTGCTGGGGACCACATCCTCTCTGACCCCCACGACCTCGTGGGACACCCCTACCTCTCTAGGTACGCATGCCATGTCGACCACGTTCAGGCTCCACTGCTGGCCCTTGATGGTACTGCTCTAGCAGGACATAATCAGCCTCGTACCCTAAGTGCTCATCATCTCGGGTTCGCCTCAATGTCCGGGAAGCCAGATCTGTAACCTACCAGCCATATTCGTGCAAAGTTGCCACTCCCTCATCAGTATGTTGTTGCATATGCAGTCCCAACTGGTAAAATAGATGTAGGCCAATAGCCTGCACAACATGTAAAATATTAATTATGGAACGCTAGGTTAACGTTGTAAGTAAGTATAAAAAATAACATACTAGTGCCTCATGCCTCCCAACGTATGGAATGTACCGGCCACCAGTGCGATGAATGGGATTCTTGACAAAAAGTCGGGTAACGCTGCGATACCAGCCCATATACTCATGCTCACCGTCCGTACGATCAGGTGGAGGGGGTGGAGGAATCAGGTCAGGCCGACGGTCCCAAATCTGAATCTGCCCCTCTGGCCAGGCCACATATGTCTGGTCAACTCTGGAATGATCATCCTGCTGGTGATGTGTCCTAAGCCAAGTGGGTGGAGTAGGTATAAGCCGCGGTCGACCAAACTGGTAAAGGCGTCACTCGGTGGCATGATGCTCGACAATATCGAGACACATCAATGGGAAGGAAGAGCTCCACATAAGTTGGTCGGTCGAGCAATAATCAGGCAAACCAGCTATTAGCTCGCCGCTGTAAGGCCTCCATATGAACTATTAAGTAAAAATAGGAATCGTAAGTATACGTAACACATATGAAGCCAGACCAAGTTAATTTAAGTATACATGTACCTGCACGCCCTCAAGCAAATTCAACAAATCCCTGTAATAGGGGAGATTATGTCGAGCCTCGACCTCATGTCCATAACCTCGCCTATCAACCCACCTTCTAGCTAAAGGTAGAAACGATGGAGGTGGTGTATCCTGAGCGGTGGGTGGTAGATGTGGCTAGAACTGCAGGAACCGCTCCCAAACCCAAACCTAATATACTGTGGACGTAAAATTTAAGGTATGTTTTTACTATGTATGTTATAATCATGAAAATAGTTGACTATGTTTTCAGCTGCAGCAGCGGCAAAAATCCGGCAATGTTTCGCTTGGTGCCGATGCTCGCCCGGCACATCTGCCTATACAAGTAACCAAGAATAGTTGTACCCAATTGTAACCAGGTAATCATCTAGTCGTTCAAGATGACTAGGTTTCCTGAAGTGTCCGGGAACAATTCCCCTCCAAACATAAGCAACATCAACAATCTCGTGTACTGTTAATATGAAGATCCGGTGTATCATCCATAATGTCCGCATCCATTGCCTCCAGATGCGGTCGGACGGGCATCAACCGCAGACGACTAACCCCAACCAATGCAGCCACTCCCGCTAGCTGGAAACCAGTGAGCCGTTGCAACATTTATAGGTACTGCAATCTGGTATAATCTCTAAGAGCATGTGGGTAAGCTACATGATGTCCATCAACCGGCAGCCCATACAGAACTTCCACATCCTGAAGCATGATAGTAGCATCGCCAACGGGTAAATGAAAAGTGTGCGTCTCCGGTCGCCACCACTCTTATAAAGCCGTGATCAATGACCAGTCCAACTGCAACCGGCCGATCTCTATGATCCTATAGAAATACGTATCCTGAAGGGGTCTAAATATATGGTGATGGAGATGGTGGGCCTTGAGAAATTCCCACATATCGTCTACCGTCTAGCGCAGAACGTCTGGGCCAATAACTGCCCCTCCCATATGTACGAAGGCCTATGCTCGACCTGTAGCAACAGTAACTCTAGCAATGTAGGTCTGGGATGCACAGGTGGAACCTCCATGACGACTACTGTAAATTGAACAATACTAATTAAAGTATTTTTCTTTTTCATTGTTTAACGTCTTTAAATATATTGCAAAATCTTTAATATTAAAATTTATTCGATATTTTTACTATATTGTAAATTAGGTTGATATTTAATATTTTATCAACACTTGGGCCAATAATTTCCCCTCCCATTTTTAATATTTTATATGTTACTTTATTATTTTATATGTTAGTTTAATATTTTATATATTAGTTTACTATTTTATATGTTTGTTTATTATTTAATATATTTGTTTATTATTTTATATGTTAGCTTATTATTTTATATATTTTTTTATTTTTTTATATGTTAGTTTATTATTTTATATGTTACTTTATTATTTTATATGTTCATTTTTTACTCACCTATTTTTTAATATAATAAAATTAAATAATTAATTTTCATAACTATACAAGATTTAATTATTAAATATTCATGTAACAGTACTTAGTTTGACAAATATTGTTGTTTTCTAATGTTATTTTCTTACGTTTGTTGACTAGAATTCGAGAGAGTTTGTGTTTGAACTATCAACTTTTTTCAGATATTTTTGGATTTAATAGATAATTAAATGATTAATTTCAATAGTTACAAAGATACTACGCTAAAAAGCACTACATTTTACTATGCTAAAAGGGCACCACATTACAAATACGAGCATTACATTAAAATTACGGGCACAAGATACCACTATAGGGAACTAAAGTCACATATTCATATATGTACAACAATAACATCTAAATAAGATTAATTATTTTTAAAATAATAATTTATTTATTTTACTAATCTTTTAGCAAATAACTAATCTAAATCGGATAAAAATAACAAATTAATTTAATTACAAAACAACCACGAAAAACCATATATACCAAAGTAAAAATTAACTAATTAACTTTTTTTAACAACTAATAATAATTTCTCTATTTTATTAATTTTTTTTATCACACTAATAATATAATCCAGATAAAAAATAACAAATTAATTAAATCACAAAACAATCACGAAATAACATAGAACACAGTAAAAACAACTAAAAGGCATTTTGATGTTACATCTCGCGTTTACGTATGTTAAAATTTCGTTTTTAGTTAACCGACGTAGAATCTGGGATGAGATCATCTTGACATTAACGTACTTACGCCATTTATAACAAGCGATAAATAAGTGTTATGAAGGATAATGGGGTACACGGATTAAAGAAAATAAATTTCGTTGAAAGTGGTCAATTTGGAATAAAATACGGGTCGAGCGATAATACCCGATAATTATGAACTAGTATCATGCAAGGTACCATATGACCACGGTAGTATAATATATAAAGTATTTTAAAAATAAATAAAATTTTAAGTAATTTATGTTAATTTTTAAATTATGCGGGTAATTGATTAATTACCGGGTAATAGAACATTACCCAGTTAACTAATAAGCGGACAAAACTTAATTAATTATACCCAAAAGAAATATGACAGTAGACCACCATTTAAGCATATGACTCATAGTCATACATGCTTAGTATGATAAAGTAACGTGTAAATCATTTAAATGACTCATAAGAATGAGTCATTTTTAAAAGGCTTGCTTAACATTAAAGTGTTTGGTTCATTTTGGATAAGAAAATAGTAGTACGTCCAAGTCTTGTACATAGGACATTGCTATTCAAAACAATTGAAGCAGAAGCAAGATTAAATTTAAAAAGAAAGCTTCATAGATCAGAAGCAGTATTTCATTCATATTTCGCAGAAGAAGAAACTTCATTTCGTTTAATAATTCAAGGAATAGGTATGTTAAGGCCCCCCCTTTTTTCTTTTGGCATGGTCCAAATTATACTGAAGAAATGAGCAAACACACAGTATGTTAATGTTTATTTTCCTTTCAGATTCGATGATGAAGAAGAAGCTGAGGTTAGAGAGAAAATGGAGAGAAGATTCGAGAACCTTTCTTATTGATTGAACAGACAAATGAAAAATATCAAATCTATCTACTACAAACCGGGTTCCCCATCTATTTATACATGACCCAATAAGAAAATAAAATTTGACTAACTAATTGGGCCTAATCTGTTATACAACATATAAATAAGAATTGGGCCTGGGCCACACTAATTCAGCCTATCTCAACAGCCCCCCTCAAGTTGGAGGGTGAGAGAACTCCCAACTTGCGAATGTGTAGATGATGAGAAGGCCCACACAAAGGTTTGGTGAAGACATCTGCGAGCTGAGAAGTACTGGAAGTGTGAGACAAACTAATGAGACCTTCAGTGAGCTTGGAACGAACAAAGTGGCAATCCAACTCAATGTATTTGGTCCGCTCATGAAAAATAGGATTACGAGCAATATGAATGGCAGATATGCTGTCACAATATAGAGGAACAGGAGAAGCAGAAGACACCCAAAAATTAGATAAAAGCCTACAAACCCAAGTAATACCAGCCATGACTTTGCTCATAGATCGATACTCAGCCTCAACTGAAGAAAGTGAGACCACTACTTGTTTCTTAGATTTCCATCCAATGAGACTACCACCAAGAAAAATATAAAAGCCAGAAATAGATCTTCTGCTATCAAGGCAAGATCCCCAATCACTAGCACAATAAGCTTGCAAAGAAAGATCAGGAGAATTGGAGAAGAATAGCCCAAAATCAGAAGTCCCTTTCAGATACCTCAATAGGTGCAAGGCTACCTTCATGTGAGGAAAGCAGGGCTGCTGTATGAACTGACTGAGATGTTGCACAGCAAAACTTAAGTCAGGTCTGGTGTGAGTGAGAAAATTGAGCTTACCAATGAAGCTTCTATAAGTCTCAGGATTGGGGAGAGGATCCCCCTCTCTAGCCTTTAACTTCACATTTAACTCAGGGTGACAAGTGACAGGAGAGCAATCAGAGGAGTTAAAATTAGCTAAAAGATCATGGATAAATTTTTTCTGATGCAAAAGTACCCCAGAAGGTGTGTGAAGTACTTCAATCCCAAGAAAGTAATTAAGAGAGCCAAGGTCTTTGATTTTAAACTGAAGATTCAAGAACTCCTTGAGAGAAGCAATTTCAAACTCATCAGTTCCAGTTAATATAATATCATCCACATAGACAATCAAAATGACCATAGACTTCCCAGAACCCCTAGTGAATAAAGAGTAATCATTGAGAGAATGTGTATATCCCCTAGAATGCAAGGCTTGAGATAGCTTGGCATACCACTGCTTGGAAGCCTGTCTAAGCCCATATAGAGATTTTCTAAGCCTGCAAACTAAAGGAACAGAAGAAGAAGAAGTCCCAACAGAAGGAGGGAGTTTCATAAAAACTTCCTCATCAAGATCACCATGCAAAAATGCATTGTTGACATCAAGTTGAAACATAGGCCAACCTTGTTTGACATCCACAACAATAAGGGTTTTGACTGTAGACATTTTGACAACATGAGAGAATGTTTTATGGAAATCAACACCCTCTACCTGAGTATCATCCCTGACAACTAATCTAGCCTTATACCTCTCTATATTCCCATCAGCTTTATACTTTACCTTATAAACCCATTTGCAGCCAATAGGCTTTTTGTCATGGGGCAGCTGAACAATTTCCTAAGTTTTGTTAGCTTCCAAAGCCTCAAATTCCTTCCTCATAGCATCCTGCCACTCAAGGACAGTTGCAGCCTGGGAATAGAAGTGAGGTTCAGGAATATGAAGTTGAGTAATAGAAGGAGCATCATGACTGGGTGGAAGAATGAGAGAAGAGGAATGGCAAACAAAGTCTTTAAGGTAAGTAGGAGGGTTATGAGGTATGGAAGATCTTCTCAAATGAAGATCATAAGTAGGAGAGGGAGAAATGGGAGAATTGGAGGAATATGGAGGGGAATCAGAATAAGAAGGAGGAGAAAGAACATGGGAGGAAGAATCAGGAGAAGGAGGGCAAGAATTGGAAGAAGATGGAGAAGAGATAGTAAAAGAATCAAAAGTGTCTGGAGATAAATGAGAATGAAGATCAGGTAAACCAACAGATGAGCCAAGGAAAGGAAAAATGTGTTCCTTGAAAACAACATCCCTTGAGATGAAGACTGTTTTAGTAGAGAGATTATATAATTTGTATCCTTTCTTGGCAAAGAGATATCCTATAAAAACACATGGAATGGATCTAGGACGAAACTTATTTTCGTGGGGTTTAGTATCAGTAGAGTAACAGAGCATCCAAAAGCTATGAGATGAGAATATGCAGGTACAGACCCAAACAACATTTCATAAGGTGTTTTCCCAAGGAGTAAAGTAGAAGGCAACCTATTAACTAAGTATGTGGCAGTAAGAATACAATCTCCCTAAAAATGAATAGGAAGATGAGATTGAAAGAGAAGGGCTCTAGCTGTCTTAAGTAAATGTCTATGCTTTCTCTCCACCACTCCATTTTATTGTGGAGTGTGTGGACAGGAAGTTTGGTGAATAATTCCCTTACTGGAGAAATACGCAGAACCTGCAATACTAGAACCTAATTCAAGGGCATTATCACTTCTAATTGTTTAGACTACAGATTTAAACTGAGTTTCAACCATTGCAATAAAAACTTTGAGAAGGTCAAAAGCATTGCTCTCGGCACCCATGAAATGTGTCCAAGTAACTTTAGTATTGTCATCAACAATGGTTAGAAAATACCTAGAATCAGTATAAGTAGATGTAGAATATGGACCCCAAGTATCTATGTGAATCTATTGAAATGGTTTGGTAGTTTGTATAGAACTATCATGGAAAGATAATCTTGTTTGTCTTGCTAAAGGACATATAGGACAAGTAAAAGACTGTTTAGAAGAAAAAATACAGCCAATATTATTCATATGCTTCATCTTAGAGAAAGAAACATGTCCAAGTCTATAGTGCCAAACAACATCAGCATTATTGACTTTATTAGGTACATCAATGGTAGTTACAAAGGATGTATCACTAGTTGCAGAAGAAGAACAAGAAACAGAACTAAAAGTATTAAGAGAAGGAGAAAGTGAAGTAGAACACTGTTGCCCAACAGAAATGGCTTGTTGAAAGAGTTTGTAAAGCCCATTGTCCAGCCTACCAAGCACCACTGACTTCTTCAGTGAAGGGCCATGTACAGTGCAAGCAGCCTTGGTAAACTGTACAATATCAACATCATACCATAACAGCTTATGAACACTAATGAGATTATATTAAAAACTAGGAATATAAAGAACATTGTGAAGAGTAAGATCAGGGAATAAGACTACAGAGCCAATGTTAGTAACTTTGACTTTATAGCCATTGGGAAGAGAAACTAGGTAAGGAACAGGTAAGGTTTGTATATTGAAAAGCAAATTTTTATTGGAGGTCATATGATCAGATGCTCCTGAATCTATTATCCAAATTATTCCATCTACTCTACTCATCATACAAGCTCCATAAGACACTCCCTTTTGGGTGGGCAACATACCAGCAAAGTTGGCAGACCCTATGAGGTTGGAACTAGGAGGGGAAGCAGTGATTTGGGCCTGCTGCTGAAGTAACATCATCAGTTGGGAATATTGGTCCTTGGTAAGGCCAAGTACTGCAGAGGAAGACTGACTCTGAGACTGAGACATATCAGCACCATACTCCATAGTAGGAATACCAGACATAGTGTTAAAGTCAAGCTCAACATGAGCAACTGATCTTTTGGGCCCCAAATTCTTTGTAGGTCTGAAATTGGGTGGAAATCCATGCAATTTATAGCACCTGTCAATGCTGTGACTGGGTTTTTTTGCAATATTTGCACACCGCAGAAGGCCTAGTAGACTCAAGGGAAACCTTGGAGGGGAAATTAGGCTTTGACATACCAACATTGTGATTTGGTGTAGGATTCAGCACACCAGCAGTGAAAGAAGCAGAGTTAGAGGGAAACTGAGTCCCAGTAAATACCTGCCTCTGCTTTTCATCAGACAAAAGAATACTGTATACTGTCCCAACAGAAGGAAGAGGCTTCATCATTAAGATGTTACTCCTGGTTTGAACATAAGTTTCATTTAGACTCATGAGGAATTGAAAAGCTCTTTGTTCCTCATCCTCAGCTGATTTGGCCCCACAAGTACAAACTCTTGCCCTACCAGCTGAGATGGAGGCAATTTCATCCCACAACTGTTTTATCTTATTGATGTAGGAGGCCATATCAAGAGATCCTTGAGAGATATGGGCCAGTTCCTTCTTTAATTCAAAGACCCTGGCCCCATCAGCTTTACTATATCTTTCTTCTAGTTCATTCCATATATCTTTAGCAAATTTAGAATATTCTACACTCCTAGCAATGTCTTTAGACAACGAGTTTACCAGCTAGGATATTGCGAGATCATTGCACCTTTGCCATTGTCTAGCTAAGGGTGACCCATCAGGAGGTCTCCCAGTAGCACCAGTTATAAAATCAGTTTTATTTCTAATAGACAAGGCAATTAACATAGTGCATCTCCAGCTACCATAACATGTACCATCAAAAGGAGTGGAGAGAAGTTCCGAGCACATCAGAAGGGTGAACATATAAGGGGTGACAAGGGTGAGTATAATCGTCTTCATGAAACACAGTGCGCAAACCAGAAGGAGATGCAATGGTTTGAGTGGGATCAGAGTTACCATTTGTCATATTGGCAACAAAAAGAGAGAAAACGGCTAAAATAGTAAGAACACCAACAACTATATCACCGGAATAGAAGAGAATAGAGTAGATATACCAGCCTCTTTCGCAACCGGAAAGAGAACGACCTTCAGAAATAAGGAAAATCGAGGGAGAAAACCCTAGCTCAAATCCCTAGCTCGAACAAGCGGTCAAAACTTGAAGAATGTCGACCAAATCTTCAGATTCAACACCAAAAAATGCCATCTCGTGAAGAAAACCCATCGAATACCAAAGAATTAACCGAAAAATATCGCATAATCGACGAACACTGTTATACTTCGAAAAACTCAACGAAAATCGGCGAGGGTAGAATCGGTCGGAAGCATGACACTAGACGAACACAGATCTATGCTCTGATACCATGTTAATGTTCATTATCCTCTCAGATTCGATGGTGAAGAAGAAGCTGAAGTTAGAGAGAAAATGGAGAGAAGATTCGAGAACCTTTCTTATTGACTGAACAAACAAATGAAAAATATCAAATCTATCTATTACAAACCGGGTTCCCCTTCTATATATACATGACCCAATAAGAAAATAAAATTTGACTAACTAACTAATTGGGCCTAATCTGTTATACAACATATAAATAAGAATTGGGCCTGAGCCACACTAATTCAGTCTATCTCAACACTCTATTCATAAAAATAATAGGGGTGTCTATATTCTTTATTCCCCATGAGAATTATTATTATCTTCTATTCATGGGTCTCAGAATAATACGCAGTTGGAAAAGTTTATCCGGAAGGAATATTGAGATTATTACGTATTTTTCATACATTTCATTCATTTATACATGTGCATTGATCCATGACCAGATGGTGTTATATACGCGTATATATGTATATATATGTATATGGGATATGGGAAAAGGTTACGGTGCTATATATGCACCACCACCTGATCAGCTGGTATATGTTGATAATGTTGGCCACAGTGGCCGAGACGATATGATGGGATGCCCTCAGCGGCTTGATGATATTATGTACACCCATACCTATGTATGGCACGACATTTATACACACGTGCATGACATTATAAACGTTTTAGAATTTACAAAGTTATTCAGATTTAAAGATGTGTTTCCTTATTCCATGTTTCATCTATGTCTTTTACGTACTAATTTTCATGCCTTACATACTCAGTATATTTTTCGTACTGACGCCCTATTTTACGGGGCCTGCATTTCATGCCCGCAGGTGCAGGTAGGCAAACTAACGGTCCCCCTTTTTAGGATCCCTGATTAGCGAGAGTTGGCGTGTTCCACTTGATCCGGAGCTGTTTTTGATTTTGGTACGATACGTTTGTACAGTTATGTTTCTATTAGATGTCTGTAGATAGTATGTCTAGTTGGGTTGTATGTGGCCTTGTCGGCTTTCAGTTTTGGATGTATAGTTGTCTGTAGCAGCCTTGCCGGCTCGCCCACTGTATCTTGCATGTATACGTAGATATGCCTTGTTGGCAGGTTTCCTTCATATATGTTATTTTCGTAATTCAGCAGATGTTATTTAGATTCATATCTTAGACGCATGCTTAGGGGTGGTTGACAGGTAGTACTCAGGCACCCGTCGCGGCTCATTGGTTTAGGTCGTGACATTTTTATACATGAGTTTTAACAAAAAATAAGTCGGAATACCTCGATTTAAAGTTTTTGGAAAGTTGAAGATTTGGTGATTTGGAGCCGAAACAAACAACCCACTACGAGATAACGCCTTAGATATGATGTAGGACCGAGAATTTATACTTTTTGTGGGACCGGTGGGCTCCACTCGGGCTT